TATTTAAATTGGGGTACGATATTGATTTGTATGTTGAATTTGAGACTGTTTCGTGTTTGAAAAAAATGAAAATTGGGGCTCTTTCCTTTGGAGAAGACGATGTGTATTAATTTCTAAAGGACTGATTAATTTGAGCTGCGATATTGTTATTTTTTCTCTGGATCTTTCTTTTTATTTCCTTCAGCTAGGAAAAATAAGAGATTAATTTGAGGACTGAATGATTTTTTTAATGGAAATTTAAGCATGTTTCGGACTCTGCCCTGCATTTAACGACTTATATTGGGCTATTTCTTAGAGTTGTCGCGTCGAGTGATATCGTTGTTTTGGTTTAGAATGAATCAAGTTCAACTTTATTGTTTGATTATAATTTACTTCAGAATCTACAGTTGTATTTGGTATTTGCTGTTTTATTCTTTAAATTCTTTGTTGATTAAGAATTCTTTTGGAGTTGCATATCGAATTAGTTTCCCACATTGCTAATTGATTTCACAAGTCTCCAGCTTGTTCTTGTTGTTTTTTAGGGGAATTTGCTGCTCTGCTTTCTCATATTTTTCCGAGGGAATCGAAGTGCATGGGTCCTCTAGGTGAATTGCCAGCTTTGAGAAATCTCAGAATGCCTCTTGGGATTAGTTTCTTCGAGCACATTAAGAGAGGGAAGCTTTCTTATAAAACTCATAAGCAATTGTCTTGATTGTAACATTTCTCGCTTACACTTGCTACCATGCCACAAGGAAAACAACCAGCATCGTCAAGAGTGCTCTCGATCCGCAGTCACCCGATGTAAGCTTGAAGTTCCCGTGGAGGATAACATACCTCAGTTCACCTGCTGAAAACAAAAGAGTTTCTTGGGTTCTAGGAGATGGTTGGGCACCATTTAACCGATCCGATGGTCGGTCTTGCTTGGTGAACTGGACGTGGCGTTCCTCGCAATATATGCTTTTGGAACGTACTTCTCTGGACATTTGGGTGATAGAATGAATTTAAGGATCTTTTTGACAGTCGGAATGATCGGAACTGGCTTGTTTACTTCACTATTTGGTGTTGGGTACTGGGCTAATATCCATAGCTTTTACTACTACCTTATAGTGCAAATGGTTGCCGGTTTATTTCAATCAACAGGGTGGCCTTCGGTTGTTGCAGTGGTCGGTAACTGGTTTGGGAAGAAAAAGAGAGGTTTTATTATGGGCATATGGAATGCTCACACATCTGTTGAGAACATTACCGGTTCATTGATTGCTTTGGCACTATTGAGCTACGGATGGGGTTGGTCCTTTGTCGTGCCTTGTCTGCTTATTGCTTTCATTGGCTTGTCGGTTTTCCTTTTGTTGCCCGTTAGTCCCGAATCAGTCGGTGCTGATAGAGATGAAGATTTAGTGGATTCTCCTAGGAAGAACGGAGAGGAAGTGACAGAGCCTCTACAATGCTCGGATACTAAGATCAAGGAGAAGGCTGTAGGGTTCATCGAAGCATGGAAAATCCCCGGAGTTGCTCCTTTTGCTCTCTGCCTATTCTTTGCCAAATTGGTCGCTTACATATTCCTCTATTGGCTTCCATAATACATTTCCCATACAGGTATGCTAATATCTATTTTTGGTCTTGAAACATGTTGAATTCATTGGTTTTTAAATGTTTCTTGGTTGACTAGTTTGTTCATCACTAATTCTCTGGTCCATTCACCGATCTTGCAGCGATCGAGGGAAAATATTTATCAAGTGAAACAGCAGGAAACTTGTCAACAATCTTTGATGTTGGAGGGGTGCTTGGAGGAATCTTAGCCGGACACATTTCCGATCGCTTAGATGCCAGAGCCATAACAGCAGCAACTTTTATGTACTGCGTGATCCCAGCTCTCTATTTATACTGTACTTACGGACACTTTTCGATGGCGATGAACATAGCTCTCATGTTCATTTGCGGCATGTTTGTAAACGGCCCCTATGCTCTTATAACAACTGCTGTCTCAGCCGACCTGGGAGCGCACGGTTCATTGAAGGGGAACTCAAAGGCATTGGCAACCGTGACAGCAATCATAGATGGAACAGGCTCCGTCGGTGCTGCAATCAGACCATTGCTGACCGGTTACATTTCCGCCAAGAGCTGGAGTGCGGTTTTTACAATGCTCATGGGAGCAGCTCTGGTTGCAGGGCTTTTGTTGACAAGGCTAGTGGTGGCCGAGGTGGTTGCGAGGGTTTCCGAATCAAGGTCAAGGTCCCAAGGAGGATCCCAAACAACATCCCAAGATGAAGAAATTGATGTATGAATGATTTGTTTGTAGAAGCCCCATATGTATATAGTGTGTGATTTTTAGAATTTTTCTTGCCTCTAGTTGTAAAAGGAAGGGGGGAAGATACTTTGAAGCCAGGAATTTTCTGCCAATTTTCCATGATTAACATGGGAAGAAAAACAAAGGGCGGGAGGAGAGCACGCTCCATGTCTATTTGAATGTACATTTTGTACGTTGTGTATTGTTTTAATACATTGGCCATAACATTATAACATGGTTAAAGTAAACCTACCATTTATCTCTCTGAACCAGTTAATTAATTATTATATTAAATTATTATTCTTAATATTGACTATTTATTGTATTGAATTATTAGTCTCAATAATATGTGATGGTTGATCTTTATTTTAATCGCAATTAATAAGGTCGGATTCAAGATTTTATTTCAGAGGCAAAAATTTAAGAAGTTTTATTAAAAATATTATAGTACAAATTATAAAAATTTAGGGATGTAATATTATATCATAAATAAAATATAAAATATTTAAATCATATTAGAATTTAAAATTTTTAATAAGTGTGATTGTCTCTAAAATCAAAGATAAACTTATAAACTTAAAAAATTATATTTAAAATTTTAAAAATAATTAAAAAATAATTAAATTAAATGTGAAAATTGTGACCGCTTCTCAACAAAATTTCGATATATCCTTGCCCAAACTCTTCTATCTATCCATAATTTAGTAAAATGACGATTACAAGGGTAGTACTTGTTCTAAAATATCTTAATCATTTGAAAATTAATCCTCAAATATCATTTAATCATTGATACTCGAACTTAAAACTTAAAAAAAAACCGGCTTAATTCGTACATAATAGATTATTAAGAACTATTTCTTGGTCTTTTGTTTTCGGTACGACGCAGTTAGAAATTCGGCCCACTAATAAAGGGACCTGCCTGCCATTAGCCCCTTGAGCATCAAGGCCTAAAAGGGAAATTAGGGTTAGATTAACTCAATAAGTCAAACGGGTATAAGAATAGTCTATTATATCAATTTGAATTTTATTTTGAGATATACGATAATATAATAAACTCGTCACGTCGATATAACAACTTTTAAAAAATATATTTTATTAAAATTTATCACATCGATATGACGAATTTTAAATCACTATAGTAAATATTATAGATCTCAAATTAATTTTAGAAGTGACCTAATAGGTTAATCTTTTTGAGGCCTATTAGGCCAATTATACCGCAAAATTAGTCCTAAACATAGGCTTTAAGAGTAGACATTAGTAATCTTTTCCAGTGGATTCAAATTTTGTAAGTCCAATTAGTCCAACCTAAATTTATATTGATTTATTAGTTTGTTCGTATATTGTAACACTGACTTCATTTATATTTATTTAGGTGTATTGATTATAATTATAAATGTATTTATAATTTTAAGTGAAGAGATAATAGTTGGAAGATAGACTCAAGTAACTATGAAATTATTTAATCACATGTATGATTGTAAACGATCAAAACATACGATAAATTATTTATAGTTATTCATATATTACGTCAGTTAAATGTTAAATAAATATGTAAGAACAATAATTTCATATTCTTTTATTAAACAAATAGATTTGTGTAAAATATATTCGATTCATTAATATTTACGAATAAATTCAATATTTATTAGTTTGCTTACTTGAAATTTTTATTAAACTCATAAACAATACTTCAAAATATTTTATTTTATATTTGTTTATTTATATATAATTATTAATACTTTTGTTTGATTACTTTATATATAAAAACAAAAATATATATTTATTTACAATTTGTTTATTATTATTATTACATGAATATATGTGTTTGTTTAATCAGTGGCGGATCCAGAAATTTAAGAATGAGAATCCAAAATTTTAATTTTTTTTCTTAAAAATAATGGATATGCAAAAATTATAATTTTTTTTCTTTTTTCCTTAATACATTAAGTTAAATTTAACCAATTTTTCAAAATAATGGATGCACTTGCCACTGTGTTTAATATCCATGAACAAATTTATTTGGTATGCATGAACAAATTTATTTAATATGCATAAAAGTTAAACCGACAAATGCACTAACCAAATAACCTTCCTTGGTAATAAAAAAATGATCGTTATTTTTTAAGTTTTAAGGTTTAAGCACTATGAATAGCATGGGTATAAACATTAAATTTTAAATAGTTGAGAAACAGATAATACATTATACTTATCCCATGTTAAAATAAATAAATAAGAACCTACATATTTAAAAAAAAATAGCAAAAATACAATTATAAAATTCAAACTAAAAACAAAAACAATTTATAAAAAAAAATAGGGGCAAGAATCTCGACATTAAACGCACAAATAGAAGAATACCAACTATCAGGATATCCTAAAAAAATAGCCACTAGATGAAGGGGACAGTCCCTTCCCAATGAAAACATATGATATGAAGAGAACACTCCAAACTTGAAAGCTATACTTTAAAGGATCTCCTTCAAATTCATGTAAAACGACGTCTGGAGGGAGGGATTGAAAGAAATTCAAAGCTATTGAAAAAGTCAAAATCCTCAGCCCCAGTTTGCGAATTGAAAAGTATGATCTAACTAAAATTTCAATACCATTTAGAAGTAAAAGCGCGGAAATTTCATATGAAAACTCGTGTTCAACCATTGCAAAGTCTGCCATTACTTTGAAATGTTAATGGTGAATTGTCACTTTCTGGAGATATTAGAAAAGAACACATGCCGAATGAATAAGCCCTGTTTTATTCATTCCTCAACAACGAACAAATCCAAATTCAATGTAGTCACAAAAACATACAGTGAAAATAAGAGTCCAATTGCAAGTTGTAATCAAACACCAACTTTACGGGAAAAAATATAGTGGTTTTTTGTTTTGCAAATCCCGAAATCATATTTGATCCTAAAAGAGGAATTCTCTTTTTTCTCCATAACTAATGCAGAGAAAAACAACATCGAACCTGTTGATTCCATTGATTCTTGGAATTTTGGATCTAATCGTCATCCTTGTTCTTGGGCTTGCGGTAATTCTCCTCGACATGCTTGGCTATGAAGAAGGCGGAGTCGGCAAGCTTCTTGACGTTCGGAACGTTGTAGTTTTGGGCAACGTAAATCCCGCAAACTGTGCCTGCGATGAAGGAAAAACAGCTTTTTATTATGCCCATACTTTGCTGTAATCGCTCGAAAATTCGTTAGGATCGGAAACAAAAGGATTTGGGGTTCTAATTAGGGTATCGGAATTTTTTAGGGATTTAGGGCTCTGGGGATGATCCGAATAACTCTTGCAAGATCGGAATTTTGACGGAAAATAAGTTTGCACTCAGAGGGCTTAATTGTCATTTGACAAAGGTCAAACATCTATTCTTTATAATTGTTCGAGCCTTAATTGTCGAGAAATACTCACACACGACAGTTTTAATATACTATTAAAAAAAATGTTATCGGTAAAAAATTATCAGAAACATTATTATTTCTATTAGTTTTGTTATTATTGGACATTTTACTGAAAAAACGCTACCGATTTTGTTATTTTTTCTACCGATTTTATTATTGAACACTTTTACCGAAAATGTTAAAAAAGTTGAAGTTTTAAGTAAAAATAATAATGTTTTAGGTAATTTTTTACCGGTTTTATTATTTAAACAATAACAAAACCAGTAACGTCTTATTTTAGTCTTATATTAAGGTGTCGCATCGTAGAATTTCCCTTATCTAAATTATACTTTAAATTAGTTTTAATGTATAATTTTTTTTCATTAAACACCTAAAATTATAACGAAAAAATCATTAAATGATTAGCGTCATATTCAGATTCTTTAAAATTATATTTTTTAAATAATATATTATTTTTAAAAAGTTAAAAAAATATAAATATGATACGTGTCATTTAACGATTTTTTTATATTAAATACCTAAAAACATAATGAAGAAAATATTAATCACATATTTTTAATAAAAAGTTATTTATGCACTAAAATTTAATGTAAAGTAGAATTTAAATACCTAAAAGTATATTAAGACTTGTTCTGATAAATTATTTATTTAGTGGATTATCAATTATTTAATTTTTAATTTGATTACTCATAATTTAAAAATTATAGATGATGCTATTTTGGTATATTTTTATTTTTTTTAATACTTATATCCGTTCTGTATTTTTACATGAACAATTCGATTATATTTAAATTAATTTTGTTTTATCAATAAAATAATAACAGTATCACCATATCATGATAATAAAATTTATAAAGAATGTGATATTCAAAATTTGTCCCTTTAGAAGAGGGTTATACACCTAACAACTGGACTAAACATGTTAACTATATTAGTTTCATTAGAACATAAATTTAAGTTATGAGAACAAAAGAGTAGATTTCAAATGTGAAGATAAAAGGATTCAAATGACAACTTTGAAAGAGAATAATTGTATCTAACCACTAGAGTTGAGTTATTATTTATGTTAATTTTACATAACATTTTTTTATAGAAATTATTAATTTTATTAAAAATAAAAAATATTCCAATTATAATTAATGTTTATAACCATAATCGTAAACTAAGTACACAATAAAGAATTTTTTAAACACGATAAAATTATCCACTTTAAGATCACAATGACAATAAAGGGACACTATTAAAAAACCTAACCAAATAAACTCAAATAAAAAGATAGATAGAAATAAATTTGATTGCATTTGTTAACGGATCACAAAAGGAATGAAGCTATTGAAAGACCACTGACAAATAACAAATCAGAATTGACCGACGTGAAAATACTATTCATAAACGCAAATCGTATCCAAATCCAATCCAAGAGTCCAAAGCAGGCAAGATCAACATGATAACAAATAAAACGCCACATTGAGCAATCGTGATGTTAATTTCAACATGGAAAAAATGGTCAAACGAGCGAAAATATGCCATAAAAGCATGAAAAAACGTACCACAAAAATATAATTATTAAAAAAAATACACTATAATAAAAAAATGAATATAAACTATCGTCAATCAAACCCAAAACTAATATTACCGTCAATCATAAATATATATAAAAAATAATAATTTTTGGTTGAACTTTCTCGTAACATATAACATTTCAAAAGAACTATCGGCCAATAGTTAAAAAATATATAAACATTTCAAAATATAATGAGTACTATTGCATTTCAAAAGATATTAATTTCAAACTAATCATGTATTTGGCATTGATAATATGGAGTATTATTACATTTTAATAATAATATATGTGATTTAAACAAATAAACTGTTTATTATCATTATGGTTAAATTTTAAAAATCTTTTAGTTTTCTTTTAAAATAAGTGATTATTTTATTTTTTACGTTATATAACTAATTGCGCCAAAAAAAAGAGAAAATTAAACAAAAAACTTAAACATTATATTGTACGTAAATCCAAAAGTTAGATACCAAAAGACTTATTTATCCAATCTAAAAAATTAATATATAAAATAGACACTGGTACATATATATTTTATTTTATTTTATTTAAAAAATAGTATTTTAGGATTTGTCTTTTGCTTCCCCGCAAAAACAATCTGACCCCGCCTGCTGTCTATTCTTTTCCTGTCTACTATTTAACTTATTTTGTCAATTTTGAAAGAATTTTCTTAAAGAAAAACACAGGAAAAAGGGGGGAAAGAAGAGCATGCAATCGCCGGTGAATATTAGCAGATAACTCCGCCGACTCGTGACAGCTTTATGTTAATCTTCTCAGACGAGATCGAATCAGGTCGCCGATTCTTTCGATCTTTTATCTTTTGTCTATTGTTCCATTATCATTAGATTTCGCATGGCGAATCCATGAATTTATCTCCTTTCTCTTTTTATCTCCATATTCCCTAAATATTATTGCCCTCTTATGTCCATTTCCTGATTTTATTTGTTCTGCGATGCTTTGATATTTTCGTCTTTGGTTATATAACTTCTGATGCAATTAAATCGTTAAATATTGTTATGCTTTCTTATTGTGAATTCCGTTGGTGTTTCACTTTTTATCGGTTGTTGTTTTATGGTCCATCTCGGTCTGTTATATTTCAAAGAAACTGATTGATGAGATCTGAAAAGGACATAATCTGATAATCATTTAGAAGCTGAAAAATTAACATCAATACATTCATTAACTGCTAATACTTGCTCTCTGCTGCTTTTCTGGTTATTTTCTAATGGTCTTTTTTTCTGGGCTTATTTTTCAGGTTCTCATGGTTGCAAAATAACTGCAATTTGTTCAATTGATCAACTTTAAACGTGCCAATTTTGAATCCCGAGCTACTTATATTATCCGAAATTTGTCATTATTGCCTGTTATTAGTGACGATAATTAAGTTCTAATGAAAGTTTGGGAGTTTGTTTTTGGTGGAAAATTTGTTTTTGTTACCGATGGCTGTGAGCTACTTGGCAATCTCAACAGTGTCTACAGCTTTAAGCTTCATAGTTCTTCAAGTTTGGGCAGAATTTTCACTTGATAAACTTCAGAATGATGGGTGGGTTAGTGAGAATTTTATTCATACGGAAAATGTTGACCGTGCACTTGAGCTTCTTTTAGGCTCTTATACCTCCTGGGCTCTACTGGCAAATTTTGTGCTCAATGTATTTATTCTACTCATCCTCTCTCTAAAGGTCAGTTTAATATTTTTTCCATGAGCCTTAATGTATTTGAAAATTTGACTTTACAATGTTATAAATCCCATGCAATGGTTACCTGTGTTAAGAAATGGATTTAACAATGGTTTTCTATTTAAGATCCTTCAATACATGATTCTTACTTGATGCAGTACTTTCAGCACTGTACATGAAAACTTGACAAGTTAATTAAAGATAAATATGTTTGAGCAATGTACACCCTGCTTTGTGAAAATTGGTTAGTACTTTGGAAGAATCATTTTGGAAGGATAAACAGTTAAACACATGATTGGAACTTTAACTCCCAGTCCTCTCTTTAAACGAAAGCTGTGGAAATGCCAATTGAATTGTCATTCTTAGAACATTAGAAGATCTTTACATCTGAAATTATGAAGATGAAATCTTAGCTAAGTTTCTTCATAGTTAGTATGTTTAAGCTATTTATCTTCATGGTATTGTGTTTTTTCTTTGACTAAAAATGGGAAGGTTAAATGGAATAATCATTGATTGTTAAAGTGAATTCGTTCTATTTTATTTCTATAGAACCTTGTCCAATTACTGTGGTTTCTGTTTCCTCTGTGCAGACTGTTTTTTTGGCGAGTTATACCCCTTAGAAACTCGGAAGTTAGTAGAACGCCTTATCAACTATGTTATCTACAAGGTAAATGTTTTAAATGATTTAAACAGTTTGGTTGCTCATACAAACCTCCTGCTTCCTCCTGGAATATATCTTCTGAGTGCCAGTTCTGCATCTGTAGAACAATGGGTGCTGCTGTATTGTTAGTACTGAATTGAGTAACTGAGCTAAATAAATTGCTTAGCCAAAAAGAAAAAAGAAGCTAAATATCTGGTGTCAGTTGGCGTAAGTTGCCTCCTGTTTGATAACTGATAGTTTTATGGTAAATATCATGTTTGAAATTGCTTATTCATTTCTGATTATTTCAATCATAAATTATCTAGACAGTTTTATAGGGTTATTTTCTTGTGAGGTTCATGTTTCAATTTTTTCTGCTTCACTAATGCTGATAAATATTGATGATTTTTGACACAGGGGACCTTTCTACCATTAGTAATTCCACCAACAGTATTCCAAGCGGGCCTTTGGTCAATTTGGTTGATTGTTATATGTTGTCTAAAGGTATATAAATGTAATTTGTGATGGAGGTCTTGTTTTTAGCTCACATTGGAAGAAATTGAATTGTTTTTTTTTGCATCCTAACATTTTGTTGAGCAATTGATACAGATGTTTCAAGCTTTGGCCAGGGACAGATTTGAGCGTTTGAATGCCTCCCCGTCTGCTACACCATGGGCATACTTCCGTTTCTTTTTTGTGTTTCTTTTTGCCCTCTCCTTCAATTTGTTTTGGTATTGCTCTATTTCTTAATTTTTTGAATTTAGAAAGTCTTTCATAAACACCCTTTTGGATTTGCAAGTAGTGTAATAATAAACATTTTTCTCTGAGTAGCTACCAACCGTCTAGGAGTGAGTATATGATTTATTAATTTCGTTACTTTTTGTATACCCTTTCAAATTTAGTGACCAAGAGAAGTAAAGTACCTGTTTTTTACAATCCTGTTCTGGTATTTCTTCATTTCATGCAGGCAATTAAGCTTTTCACAACTTATCTAAACTATTTAAGTTACTTTGTGGGTTCATTTCAGGATTTGGCTGAGCTTTA